GGGTGATTTCTCACTTTCTGTCTCTCTGTCTCTCTCTGTCTGTCTGGCAAGCACACGTGCCCTATAGCAAAAACCTCTCAAAAAAAAAAGAATTGGAAGCATTCCTTCCTCTTGTATTTGTAGGAGGAGAGTATGTAAAGTTGATGTTAATTATTCTTTAAATTTTTGACAGAATTATCCACTGAAAGTGTCTAGATCAAGAGATTACTTTTGTAGGAACTTTTAAAATAATGAATTTAATTTCTTTATTATAGAGTTATTTAGATTATTTCATAGTGAATGAGTTTTACTAGTTTGTCATTTTTGAGAAATTGGCTCGTTTCTTCTAAATTTTCAAATATATGAATATAAAGTTGCTTATATTATTCCTTTATTTCATTTTTAATGACTTCAGGATCAGTAGTTTTCTTTGCTGTGACATCATATGTTTTATTTTTGATATTAGCAATTTGTGTCATTTCTTTTTATTTTTAGTGGTCTTACCATATTTGTAATTTTATTTTTCAGTTTTTATGACATAGAGTCCACGTGCCTACCAGAGAGACACAGTGAGAGAGAAAGTGAGAAATCACCCCCCGCCCCCGCAATCCCCTAAGAGGGATGACCACACAACAATCCCTTTTCCTCCATTGTCCTCCTGGGATGTGGGGCACATACACACACACACACACCTGTGTGATTTTCAAGTCGTTGGGTCCAGAGTTTGGCCCACAGTTGGCCAACTGAGAGTCCAGCACCTTAAGCATCACAACACCTGCTGGTTCCTAGATTTGTCAATTTCATTGATTTTTTTTCCCTATAGTTTTCCTATTTCAGTTTCATTGATTTTAGCTTTTTATTATTTCCTTTCTTGTGCTTTGGGTTTATTTTGCTCTTCTTTTTCAAGTTACTTATGTAGAAATTTTTATTATTGATTTGAGATTTTTTTGTATTTCCTATATGTTGTATTTTTATTTTGATTCAACTCTAAGTATTTTTTTTTTGGGGGGGGGAGGTTCTATAGTGCATGTGTGCTCGCTAGAGAGACAAAGACAAAAAGACAGAAAGCAAGAAATCACCCCCCAGGGGGATGGCCATGCAGAAATCCCTTTTCCTCCATTCTCCTCTCAGGACCTTGGGCATTCATGCACATGTGTCCCGCGTGAGTTTTAAGTCACTGGGTCCAGGACTCGAACCACAGTCAATTTCTCAGGAGCCCAGCAACATAACCATTATGCCATCTACTGGTCTCATTTCTATGTATCTTTTAAATTTCTCTTTGAGACTTCCTTTTTGATCCACAAATTATTTAGAAGTGTATTGTTTAATTTCCAGATTTAGAGACTTTTACTGACATCTAGTTTGATTCCACTGTGGTTAGAAAATATATTGTGTATTATTTCAACTCTTAAATTGTTTAGATGTGCCTTATGGTCTATCTTGATGAATGTTCTGTGAATGCTTGAAAAAAGTACATTCTTTTTATTGAGTGGGGTATTCTATAATAAGAAATGTAATTTAAAGTGCCATTAATTTTTAAAATGGAATCTTAAAAATATTTAATTAGATCCTGGTAGTTCATTATCATTTTCAGATCTTCCATATTTTTGATGATGCTCTAAGTAGATTTTTCAGTTTCTAACAGGAGGTATTAAACTTCTCAACTAAAATTTTACATTTGTTTCCTTGTATTTTAGTTCTATAAGTTTTTGTTCATGTATTTTTAGAGTCTTGTTTGCTTTGTAAACATTAAAGATTGTTATATTCTGCTGGATTGATTCTTTTTATCATTAGGTAATGTCTGTCTTCGTAATAGCTTTCTTTGCTGTGAAATCTACTTTATCAGATAATAATGTAACTTCTCCAGGTTTTTAAAAATTAACATTTTCATGCTATATGTTTTTTCTATCCTTTTACTTTCAACTTATTTGTGTAGTTAAATTTAATGTGAGTTTCTTCTTATTATTTTTTTTTTTTTGGAGAGTTTTTTTTTTTTTTTTTTATTATATGTGACTTGTTCTTCCC